AAGCATCCAAAGAAAACTCCCAAATACTGTAGAGATTCCTCTTTCCGCAGTCAGCATTCAGCAGAGTAGATCAGTGCAGTCACGTGTGTGGTAACTACTCAAGGTCAGGAGAAACCTTTCTGAAAGGATTTGAGAATGGTGCTTGATGTGTATTCAGGGCTGAGAACAGTGCCTATTTGCACCAGTTAAACTGGAAAAACACATACAGGCTTATCTTGTTTCATTATGCTTTGGTTTGTTGCACTTTGTAGATATCGAATTTTTTTTTAAACAAATTGAAGGTTTGTGGCAGCCTGCATCCAGCAAGCCTGCTGGCTCCACTTTTCCAACAGCATGCGCTCACTTTGTGTCTCTGTGTCACATTTTGGTAATTCTCATAATCTTTCAAGCTTTTTTATTGTTATTTCTGTTATGATAATCCATGATGAGTGATCTTTGATGTTACCACTGGAATTGTTTTGGGGCACCACAGACTGCACCCATATGAGGTAATGAACTTATTAAATGTTTTGTGTGTTCTGACTGCTTCACTGACTGGCTGTTCTCTTGTTTTTTGCTTTCTCCTCTGACTTCTCTATTCTTGACCACAACAATATTGAAATTAGGCCAATTAATAACCCGACAATGGCTCAAGTGAAGGGAAGAGTCACAATTCTCTCATTCTAAATCAAAGGCTGGAAATGGTTAAGCTTAGTGAGGGAGGCATGTTGAAAGCCAAGACAAGCTGAAAGCTAGACCTCTTGCACTCAACAGTTAGCTAAGTTGTAAATGCAAAGGAAAAGTTCTTGAAGAAAACTGAAAGCACTACTTCACGGAACATAAACTATAACAAAGTGAAACAACCTTATTGCTGATACGGAGAAAGCTTGAGTGGTCTGGATAAAAGGTCAAACCAACACAACATTCCCTTAAACCAAAGCCTAATCCAGAGCAAAGCCCTAACTCTCTTTAATATGAAGGCTGAGAATGATAAGGAAGCTGCAGAAGAAAAGTTTAAAGCTAGCAGAGGTTAGTTTATGAGGTTTAAGGAAAAAAGCTGTCTCTATAACGTAAAAGTGCAAGATGAAGCAGTAAGCACTGATACAGAAGCTGCAGCAAGTTATTTAGAAGATCTACTTAAGATAGTTGATGAAGGTGGCTACACTAAACAACAGATTGTTAGTGTTGACAGAACAGCCTTGTATAAGAAGATGATGCCATCTAGGACTTTTTTTTTTTTTCTTCTTTATTTTTGGAACAGAGTCTCACCATGTTGCCCAGGCTGGAGTACGGTGGTGTGATCACAGCTCAATGCAGGCTTGACCTCCCAAACTCAAGCCATCCTCCCACACTAAAGCCATCCTCCCACCTCAGCCTCCCAACTAGCTGGGACTGCAGGGGTACACCATCGTGCCCAGCTAATTTTTTTTATTATTTATTTATTTTTGAGACAGTTTCACTCTTGTTGCCCAGGCTGGAGTGCAATGGCACGATCTCAGCTCACTGCAACCTCTACCTCCCGGGTTCAAGCAGTTCTGCCTCAGCTCCCAAGTAGCTGGGATTACAGGCATGCACCACCATGCCTCGCTACTTTTTTTTTTTTTGTATTTTTAGTAGAGACGGGGTTTCTCCATGTTAGGCCAGTCTCGAACTCCCATCCTTAGGTGATCCACTCACCTCAGTCTCCCAAAGTTCTGGGATTATAGGTGTGAGCCACCATGCCCTGGAACTTTTTTATTTTTTGTAGAAATGGGGTCTCACTGTGTTGTCAGGGCTGGCCTTAAACTCCTAGGCTCAAGTGATCTTCCTACCTTGACCTCCCAAAGTGCTGGGATTACATGTGTGATCCACAGTGCCCAGCCTCTGGGACTTTGATAAATAGGGTGAAGTAAGTGCCTGGCTTTAGAGGACAGCCTGACCATCTTGAGGGCCAATGCAGCTGGTGACTTTAATTTGAAGCAAATGCTTATTTACCATTCTGGAAATCCTAGGGCCCTTAGGGATTGTGCTGAATCTACTCTGTGCTCTTTAGATGGATCACCAAAGCCTGGATGATAGCACATCTGTTTACAGCATGGCTTACTGAATATTTTAAGCCCACTGTTGAGACCTGCTCAGAAAAAAAAATTCCTTTCAAATATTACTGCTCATTAACAGTGTACCTAGACACCCAATGAAGCTCTAATAGAGGTGTACAAGAGGTTTAATGTTGTTTTCATGCCTGCTAACACAACATCCATTCTGCAGCCCATGGATCAAGGAGTAATTTCAACTTTAAGGCTTATTATTTAAGAAATACATTTTGTTAGGCAATAGCTAATTTTTTTAGATAATGATTCTTCTGATGGATCTGGGCAAAAAAAAAAAACTGAAAGTCTTTTTGAAAAGATTCACCAATCTAGATGACATTAAGAGCATTCATGATTTATAGGAGGATGTCAGAATATCAACATTAACAGGAGCTTGCAAGAAATGGATTCCAGCTCTCATGAATGACTTTGAGGGGTTCAAGATTTCAATGGAGGGAGTCACTGGAGATTTGGTAGAAATAGCAAGAAAACTAAAATTGAAGCAGGAGATAGGAACAGAAAAACAAATCTTCCTTCTTTCCTTTAGTGTAATCAAACTTCCTGAGCCCTTATCCTTTACTCTGTTCTGTAAGTTTTAGGAGTTTATGGATTCTTTTTCTCTGTAACTGATAACTATGAGTTTCTGTTTCTCATCTAAGCAACACAACAAAAGTCATGAGAAATACCTAAGCAGGCCTGGACTTGAGCCATCTAGGTACCATAGCGGAGGGCACAAGATAAGCATGTGCAAGGCTCCTTGAGCAACTTAGATAACGGACAGCTAGGCTGCATAGCAAAAGACATATGTAAGCCTGAGTTACATGCCTGTCACTGCTTGATAAACTGCCTTTGTTCTGCACCTGCAAGTCTGTTTTCACGCCGCTGTGCTTCATGTATAAAAGTCAAGCCCTGTCTTTGTTCAAGGCTCAGTTTTTTAGATGCTAATCCACTAAGCCAGTGCACCTAGATAAAATCCTCCTGTTGAACCCATTAGTCTCTCTGGTGTTCTGATTCCTGCAACAGAATTAGAAGTGGAGCCTGAAGATGTGACTGACTTGCTGCAATCCCATGTTTAAAGCTTTAATGGATGGGGATTTGCTTCTTATGGATGAGTAAAGAAAGTTGTTTCTTGAGATAGAATCTACTCCTGGTGAAGATGCTGTGAACATTGTTGAAATGTCAACAAAGGACTTAAGAATATTCTGCAGACTTAGTTAATAAAGCAGTGGCATGGTTTGAGAAGATTGACTCCCATTTTGAAAGAAGTTCTACTGTGGGAGGCCAGGCTCGGTGGCTCACACCTGTAATCCCAGCACATTGGGAGGCTGAGGCAGGCAGCTCACCTGAGGTCAGGAGTTCGAGACCAGCCTGGCCAACATGGCAAAACCCCGTCTCTACTAAAAATACAAAAATTAGCTGGGTGTGGTGGTACCTACCTGTAATCCCCGCTACTCAGGAGACTGATGCCCCTTCTAAGCCATTATCCTGTCCTCACGCTCCTTCACTCCTTCCCTTGTCTGAAGCATAGATTGTAACCCTTTGCTTTCGTCTGAGATTGGCCTTTGATGAGGAATTTAGGGCTTTCCCCATATCTTCTCTCCTTCACCTTCATTGAGGGTGCTGCTTTTTATTCCCTTCTCAAGTTCCTTTTTGCACCATCACCACCCAACACCTTCCATGGCATTTCCTTGCTTCGGCCAGAAGCTATCAGGTAAGGTTGTAAAGAGTCTCTGACCTTCCTTGTTTAGTTTTGGAACCGTACTTATTCACTCTCCATCAGCCTTGGAAATAATATTGGGTCCTCAGCCCTGCCATCCTCTGCTCTTGTCAGCTGTGCATTGTTTTTAGCTCAGGTTTTGATAAGGTAAAAAGAACAGTCACCAGGTTACTCATACCCACCAGCTGTCAGAGTCCTTGGTGATTAAACTTGGAGGAAGACCACATAAAGACACTCGTAAGCACAAATGATCCCTCTGAATTGTTTTACTTTTCTGTAATTGCTTTTCCTTTAAAAACTGAAGTTTTAAACAGGACTTTCATTTGGTTGTTGCTGCAGTGTATTGGGGTCTAGTTTGGAATTCAACAACTAGAACAAAATAACCTTGAATCCAGTGTAAACCTTGGTTTTGGTGCTGCTGCTGCTTCTCAAAATCCTTAGCAGGCCGGGAGTGGTAGCTCACGCCTATAATCTCAGCACTTTGGGAGGTCACAGAGGGCGAATCATGAGGTCAGGAATTTGAGACCAGCCTGACCAACATGGTGAAACCCCATCTCTACTAAAAATACAAAAATTAATTGGGTGTGGTGGTCCGCGCCTGTAATCCCAACTACTCGGGGCTGAGGCAGAAGAATCACCTGAACCCAGGAGGCGGAGGTTGCAGTGAGCCGAGATTGTGCCACTGCACTCCAGCCTGTGGGGGATAGAGAGAGACTTGTCTCAAAGAAAAAAAATCCTCATCAGGGATTAAGAACAAACCTGGTGTGCACGGCAGATCCCCAAAATTGGCGAGATTGACCTGGCAAATTGCTGCGTCTTTCTGCTTTCTGTTTCGGACCACTAAATGCTGATGTGTGGATGCATACCAAAAGAAAAACAATTCATTGTGTTTAAATTGTATTGATAAACCAAGAAAGTCATATTATGATGTTAAACGATGTTAGGATATGTATGTGTAAACAGTTTGGGGGCTGGGCATGGTGGCTCACGCATGTAATCCCAACACTTGGGAGACTGAAGAAGGGGTGGATTGCTTGAGTCCAAGAGTTAGAAAGAAACAGTTTGGGAACAGGGATGGGTGTAGAAGAACTACATCTTTGACAGAAATCAATATTTAATTTCTAAATTGATAAATAGTGATAGAAGCATATTATATCAAAATTGGGGGTAAATACCAGAAAGAAGATGTTAAATGAATTCCAATGGTTGCTGCTTTTTTTAAAAAAATGTTCTTTGAAAATGTGGAATACTTCACAAATTTGCATGTCATTTTTGCACAGGGGCCATGTTAATTTTCTCTGTATCATTCCAATTTTAGTATATGTGCTGCTGAAGGGAGCACCTAAGTGTTTGCTTATGAGGAGTGAGACTAGTTGGGGTTTGTGAAAGGCTGGAGTTGGGATTAACATTTTTTATTATAAGCCTTTTGTGGCATTTGATTTTTAAATCCATGGATATGGATTATTTTGATTAAAATTTTATTTAAAACAATGGCAAAAATATACAATATATAAGTCTACGTGTGCATGTGTGTGTATATAAATATATATGTACCCATTATTGAAGATAATTAGTAGCAAAGGTTCTGAAAATATAGTTTCCTTTTATGGGAAAACATTTATTAATATGTATAGGTGCTAATATAATTATAAAACTTTGATTTATTATTCTATTCACACTAGTTTATACCAAAAGAGTCATTTGTGAACATCAAAAAATAATTCTGATTGTTCCAATGATAATTGACTAATTATTTCATTGTTTTTGCCCTCTGTTGCAGTTGCAGGATGTGAGTTTGAATCTATGGAATGTCTACAACAAGATGGATCCTATGTCTCTGGAAAGTTTGCTTTCAGAAGTAAGGAGCCAAACAGTAACTTTTAAATATTAATATTATATCCAGCTCAGTTACCTGCTAATGATCTTTAATTTGAAGAAATGTAAAATATATTTTAGCTTTTTTTAGTCCAAAAATAGAGCAATTTCTTTCTTGAATTCCTTGGGGGTATAAGGGAACCTGGCAGTGACACTGCTCCGTCTTCTACCTGAGGTGACCTCACTGGAGGCAAAACCAAGGCCTCCTTCCTGGTCCTGGGTTTAGGTTTTCATCTAAAAGCATTCTTTCTGTTGGACTGGACTTTAGAAAAACAATGCAAAAGGCTTTCTCTGGCATGAAAAGATAAAAAGATGAGATTATGACTTAAAGGAATCAAGGATTAGAGCAAAGATGGCAGACTTTTTCTGTGAAACTCTAGTAATATTTTAGCCTTTGTGTGCCTTATGGTCTCAGTGGCAACTACTTGACAATGCCATAGTAGCATGAAAACAGCCCTAGACAGTGTTTAAACAAATGGTATGTCTGTGTTCTAAGGAAACTACAAAAATACATGGCCTGTCTATATCAGGATGTGAGGGGAAATTTGCAATGAAGAGCGAACAAACAGAACTAAAGCTTTAGGACTCTGTATTCTGGTTCAGCAGGTCAGTAGTGTCTGTCTGTGGCCATGGGTAGATATGCATGGTCATGGAATGACTTAGAGTTAGCCATTTCTTCAAGGAGCTTCAGTACAATTATCGAGGAACAATATTTAACAGACAAAATCTGGACCTTAAGTATGTTTCTTGCTTCTGTGGGGACATTGGTTTTAGGCTCTTTGAGTGGACATACTGAAAAAATAAAAGAATAAGGAAAGGAAAAGATACAGTTTTGAAAGTTATATTTCCTCGAAGGAACAGAAAGTTTAAAATCTGCATATTGAAAAGGGCAGACCAGTCACAGTGGCTGATGCCTATAATTCTGGCACTTTGGGAGTCTGAGACAGACAGATCATCTGATTTCAGGAGTTCAAGACCAGTTTGGCCAACATGATGAAACCCTTTTTCTACTAAAAATACAAAAATTAGCCAGGCGCAGTGGCACGCATCTGTAATCTTAACTACTCAGGAGGCTGAGGCAGGAGAATTGCTTGAACCTGGGAGGTGCAGGTTGTGATGAGCTAAGATCATGCCCCTACACTCCAGCCTGGGCAACAGAACAAGACTCCATCTCAGAAAAGAAAAGGGCATGCCATGCCCCAGAAAATATTGCTGAGACATATTCTAATAAAGTTACTAGACTTCCCCCCAAGCTCCAGCCACCCCAAAAAAACAAAATGCTTTGGCATCTAGGTACAAGTAAAGAAGAATAATTCAGGGTGGCCTTGAGTTTCTTCTTGGCAGAAAAAAAAAAAATGAAGCAACACACCTGTAATAAAATCCTCAAGAAGAATAATATGACACCCAAATTTTATTTATTTTTATTTTTAGAGGCAGGGTCTTTCTCTGTTGTTCACTACTGGAGTACAGTGGTGATCATAGCTCACCACAGCCTTGAACCCCTGAGCTCAAGTGATCCTTGTACCTCAGCCTCCTTAGTAACTGGGACTACAGGCGTGCATTATCACACCTGGCTAATTTTTTATTTTTTTTGTAGAGATGGGGTCTTGCTGTGTTGCCCAGGGTGGTCTTGAACTCCTGGCCTCAAGCAGTTCTGCCACCTCAGTCTCTCAAAGTGCTGGGATTATAGATGTGAGCCTCTGTGCCCAGCCCCAAACTTTATAGTTCAAATATAAGGGCAGCAGACACTTTGAACATAGAAGTACTGGGGCATATGGTGCTCATGACTTCTGAAGAAACCTATCAGATTTCTTCTACCCACGATGACTGGAAAAGCTGAAGCAAAAGGATTGGCAGTAGGCATTAGATCTTTTGTTTATAACATTAAAACAAAAGCATGTGAGAGAATTATGGTGGTACAATAGAATGTAAATGATACTGTGGCTGGCCTATATGGAGAGTCCCCTGCACTTTAGCATGTGCAACAGAGCAAGACCTCATCTCAAAAAAAAGCTTGTTAATATAAATAACATAACTGGCAAAAGTTGGTGGAAGAAATAAGAGTTCATGTAAGAATATTGTTTTCTTCATATTGATACCCAGGAGGTAGAGTATCAAAAGATGTCATATAAAACCTGAAAAATTGGCTGGGTACAGTGGCTCACGCCTGTAATCTCAGCACTTTGGGAGGCTGAGGAGGGTGTATCACCTGAAGTCCGGAGTTTGAGACCAGCCTGGCCAATCCCATCTCTACTAAAAATATAAAAAGAAATAGCTGGGCTTGGTGGTGGGTATCTGTAATCCCAGCTACTTGGGAGGCTGAGGCAGGAGAATTGCTGGAACCCAGGAGGTGGAGGTTGCAGTAAGCTGAGATCAAGCCATTGCACTCAAGCCCAGGTGGCAACAACAAGACAGTGTCTTAAAAAAAAAAAAAAAAAAAAAACCCTGAAAAATTAAGTAATAAATATATAAATTAAATAACAGTATAAAATGAACAGTAAAAGATAAAGTTGGCTGGATGAGGAAGGAGGAGGGAGTAGGAAGAAGTACACTAATTTTATTATCAGAGATTAAGGAAATTGAACATTAAGGTTTGTACATTAGTTACAACATAAACACTAGCACTCAATAATATTTTGTTTTTTGAGACATAGTCTTACTCTGTTGCCCAGGCTGGAGTGTAGTGGCACGATCTTGGTTCACTGCAACCTCCACCTCTAAGGTTCAAGCTGTTCTTCTGCCTCAGCCTCCCAAGTAGCTGGGATTACAGGCACATGCTACCAAGGCTGACTAATTTTGTATTTTTACTGGAGATGGGGTTTTGCCACATTGGCCAAGCTGGTCTCGAACTCCTGACCTCAAGTGAGCCACTCGCCTTGGCCTCCCAAAGTGCTAGGATTACTGGCGTGAGCCACCACGCCTGGCCTCAGTAATAATTTAAGTCATGAAAATGTTACATATCAGAGTATTTGAAAAACAGCTAAAGCAGTACTTATAAGAAATTTTTAATTAAAAGTAAGTAGCCACGCGAAGAAGTTAGGGGAAAAGAATAAGGAAAGAATGTATTGCATGGAAAGCAGAAAATAATGAAGTAGAACATAGGAATGGGGTAGAACTCATAAGTAAGCCTAGCGCTGGTACTTTGAACCTGAGACTAATGAAGAGAAACCATCAGCCTAATTTTGGTAGGTTATATTATTTTTTCCCAACTCTTCTTCTTCCCTTCATGCCCCTGCTGTAGTTGACAGTGGGTATTCTTTCCTGTTACACTAATGTTGGCCCTGGTCATATGGAAGGTGAATGGTCATAATATGACCTGTCTGACCAGAGGCCTTCAGGGTTCTTTCATAATTTTTCTTGCCCTGTTAAACTCCTGCCATGAGGAGAACTCTTCCCAGGTAGTTGCTGCTTTATGTGTGGGTCCTGAGATGACATTCATAGAACAGATTCAAAGCTCAGCTGACATTCATAGAACAGACTGAAAGCTGAGCTCTCCCTTTTTTTTCTTGTTAGATCAGACCTTATAGTAAGCAATAACCTGACTAGTAAACTAATCTAACAAGAGAAAAAAAGGGAGAAAGCAGCAATGTCAAAAGAAAAAGGAGAGCAACGACAGGAACAAAGAGGTTAAGAATCATAAGAAAGTAATTGCATCAGTTCAGTGCAAATACATTTGGTTAAAGGTTAATTAAAATGGGCCATAGGATAGATAGAAAATCTAAAATAACTGATTTTAAAAATGCAGAGAAATTACCAGGAACACATTTCATAGGTGAATTCTCCAAAAACCTTCAGATACAACTTTGGAGCTCTTTAAAAGTTCAGATCCGGCTGGGTGCAATGGTTCACGCCTTATAATCCCAGCACTTTGGGAGGCAAAGGCAGGTGGATCACCTGAGGTCAGGAGTTCAAGACCAGCCTGGCCAACATGGTGAAACCCAGTCTTTACTAAAAATACAAAAATTGGCCAGGTGTGGTGACACATGCCTGTAACCCTAGCTACTTGGGAAACTGAGGCAGGAAAATCACTTGAACCCAAGAGACAGAAGTTTCAGTGAGCCCAGATCACGCCTCCAGTCTGGGTGACAGAGCAAGACTCTGTCTAAAAAAATAAATACAATAAAATAAAAGTCCAGATCTTACCCTTAAAACATTTTAATATAGTGATGAGCTAAATCAAACCAGACAGCATGGAAAAAGAACATCTTGCAAACTTGTAATGAAATTACCTAAAGAAAAAAATAATCAGACAGCACTGGATCTGGACAAAAAAGAGAAATTAGCTATAGTATCAAAACTCAATAAAAAGAAACAAAAGAAAATGAAAACTACAGACCAGTCTTATGAATATTGATACCTGTATTTTAAGTTAAATATTAGCAGATAGAACCTAGTGTCATGTTAAAATAATACTCTATGAAGTAGGGTTTATTAAGGGTTCTAGATTCAGTTCAATAGCTGGAAATC